CACTACCCGTTAGTTTTCACTATGTGCCAAACCATGGGTTTATATTGGTGCAAAAAGAGATGCAGTCCCTGCCCTTCAGGAGCTTATACTGTAAGTAGCTCTAAGTAGTTAAGATAAGCAAAGAATTATAGCTTTAAAGAAGTATGCAAATCAGCCACTCCCATCTTTGAGTTCATAGGTTGAGGACTCCTGATGAAGTCTGCAGATCAGCAGAACCTACTTCAGAGGCAGCCATGACCTGGCATGTACTGTAAAAAGTGGTCAGACACGCTCCAATGTTTCAGCTCATTGGAAGCTCTATCTTCTACCTTATACACTCTGTATTTGGGGGGGGGTCCATCTACCAAATTACACTGAATGAAAAATCAATCTTGCCAAACTGTCTGAAGGTCAGACAATAATACCAAGCTGTCTTCATTCTTATCCTCTCACCAGCACAAATCATCCTTAGTCTTTGAAGATATCCTAACAGGAATTTTTGAAGTATGTGCCATTCTCAGGTCCGCAGACATGAGTACTCCTGCTAAAATCACCTGAATTAAGCAAACTTAATACCTACCTTTCCCATTTTTTGTCATGTTCAATTAATGCACAGAAACTTGTCACCTCTTAGCCAAGAGACTTTGGTCCCTAATTTGCAAGAGGGCAAAGATTTTTTTTCCCCCTCTTGAATATTCTATTGGCTTGTGAATTCTGATGAGAACAGATTCTTTTTCTGAGGGGCCACAATACCCATTCTGATTCTTTGTGTAGATGATTTGTTGACCTCACTGCTTAACTCCAAATAACTTAATTTCAAAGAAGCAACTCTCAACACCGAGATGGTAATAAAACAGATACCCATTCTTTAGTCACTTTGGAATTACTTGCTGAATTCTTCTTACCCAAGACCTGAAGAGAAACAGGAGAAAAAGACGGAAATAGTAAACCAGCGTCTCTTCCCTTTGACTGCTGATTTAGACAAAGGCCATAGTAAGTCAGTAATCACCAGGCTGACATCTCAGACCCTCATGTAGGCCTATTTTAAGCTTCCTGGCTGGCATTGTTAAGACTGCAGGACCTCTCCGTGTTGTCAAAGCTAACCTCCAGTGCCCTATGGGTCTTATCACTTGCCCATGAGAACACTAGGCCAATCTGGTCAAGCATTTGTTCATTACTAGGTTTGCTCTAGGGCAAGAGAATGAAAATGTTAAGGATCACATTCAGGAAATGTCATTGCATTTTTGATACCACAGAAAGCATTTGTGTACACAGAACAGGCATTTTTGCAGTGCTTTCTTTGTACCACACTATGTTTGAAGCCTCTTCCTCTCTCCTTGCCTGTCCTTCTCTGCAACAATCCTCAGTTGTTTTGTGTTAACGTTTCAACACCTTCCAATACCAAAGTATCAACAGGTGTTCTGGTGGCTAAAATAGTCTGTGGGGTCAGAGCAGCAGCAAACCTAAGGTCCCTCCCTGGCTCTAGTCAGTCATGTGATAATACACAGCACTTTTGAAACAAGCCTATTGGGTGGCCAAATGGAGCTCCATCTAGAAACCCAAACAAAGCCAGGCCAGAGGAGAGTCAAGGTTGAGATACTAAAGAATCTCCTTCAGTGGTACCAGCAGTTGCTACTTCTGCAGAAGGACACTTTATTTATAAGGGTACTTAACACTGAATCATACAACTTTGCAACTAGAGAACAGAACTCACACCTCTAAATGAAATTTCAAAGCCATTTTGATTTCACAAACCCCTTGTCATCCAATACCTAATGACAATTTTTTTTTAAACTATACTTACTAGTGGCAAATACCAGTTTTTTGAGAGTTGGTATTATTTTCAGAGATAGCCAGTTCATTCAAACTAAGAAGATGGTATAAAACCAAAGAGTTAGTTATAGTAAAACAAGTTGCAGTTTCCTGAGCAGACCTGAAAATAATTCAAAAAGGGAATTTTACAAAATGCTCTATATAATGGCATTGTTAGTGTGGAATAAAGCTGCTACCAAGGTTATTACAGTTTTGAAGAGTCATTCGATACAGATGTATAAATTCTGGATTCTCATGACTCTATTTTACAACCATTAGGAAAAAGTTTATAGACAATAGAGAAGTCTAGTATAAACTTCTTTTCTGGGTCCTAAGGCGAAAAAACAAAAACAAAAAACAAAAAGACCCTTAAAATAAAAATCTACTATTATTTTCAGTTAACTGGATTTTATGCCTGCAAAGTTAGGTCTAAGAGGTACTCTTCACCTAATTTATTTAAACTGATATCCTAAGTTCTAAGACTTTCTATTCTACATATTACATTAATAACTTACTAGTATCTAATTATAAAATACACTTTATATTATTAAAATGTATTAAAAGAGGCCTGTGTCTCTTACTCTTCTGGAATCTTTAAGATACTTACCCAGACATATCTATAATATGAAGAATAGCTAATACTTATTTGGCACTTCCTACACGCTACGTACTTTCTTAGCTAGTTATACACACACATGCCACACATGCAACAGTTGTCCAAGACCACACAGAAAGAGCTGGGATTGGAACCCAGGCAGTCTGGCCCAGTTGCATTCTTAATCGCTATGGTATCCCATCCTTAATCACTATACTATCTCCATGAAAGGAGAGAAAACAAGAACATAAAATTAGATGTGTAATAGGAAAAGGACAGAGAGGAATACTTGCAAATGTGAAGAGGCTCATTTAAGAAGCAAAAAGGAGAGGGTGAAATGAGGTAGATAGATCCATGTAAACTGAGATGAAGGCTAGACAAGTCACAAAGACTCCACGGGCAACCTGGCATGGGAAAATGGTTCTCCTCTAACTTACTTAAGAGAATGGAGTAATTTGAAAGATACAGGAGTTACGAAGAACTAGTTTGGGTAGATATTGTTTTTCCTTTATTACAGAAAAATCAAGTAATTGAGGATTAATATAGAACTCCACAGTACTGATACCATGATAGTTTTTATATCTAGTCTGCATAACTGTGAACTTTATTGACTAGTAAGCAGATATATGTAATAAATCAAAGTCAACTCATTGGAGTTGGTAAGGAAAGGTAAGCACAGCAATCTGGCTATCTCCAAGCTTTTAGAAGCCACTGTCCCATAAAGAACGTGTGTATGGATGGAAATAACAAAACCCCCTAGGAATGTCCTCTGTTTAACTGCAATCAGGGCCAATGCCACTTTAAGCCTAATCTCACCTCATACATGTGGGGATTGAGTCTCATAGGGTAGAAATTGACTCATCACTGGGACGGACTCGATGAAAGTCAGTCCAGCGCTCTTCCCTCTTTTTTCCAGGTTGCAGTCTACCCCCTTGTCCCTGTACCACTCGAGGCAAACCAGACAATACCAATTTCAAAGCCCTTCAGAGGAGAGCGCACAGCTGGACTAAAGGGAAAGGAATTCCTCTATCAGAGCTCCCTCTTGCTGCTATTTAGACCCGCTTCCTCCCCCAGGGACAAGAGGGTGTCCGGAAAACGACAGAAAACATTAGTTGCGTGAATATCCCCAAATCTGTAACGTTATCAGATGAATGAAGCAACCAATACTCTCGAGGTTCTTCGTCATGCCTTGTATTCTAGGTGAGGGTGAAGTGCAGGGGTTTAGTCTCCCCGTGGGCCGGGAGCCACTCCTGCAGCCTAACCTGGAAAGCCCGCACCCACCGACGAGGCACGTGGGAGGCTTGGCCACTGGGCCGGCCATCCACACTGCCGGCTCCCTGCGGAGGTGCCAAGGATTCGCGGAAGCTCACCCGCCAGGGGAGCACCGGTTCCTCAGGCTCTAAGCGCGCCGAGATTCAGGAACCCGCCAGTCGCCAACGTAGCCAATTCCGCCCAGACCCGCAGACCACCGCTCAGCCCCACCTTCTCCTAGCCCGGGCGCGGTCACGTGAGGTGGGCCAATGGAACCAATGGGCGGCTCGCGCCAATGGAAGGGATTGTCTGACCCCCATGACGTCACAAAGTTGGCGGGGAGCGCGCTCTTCTTCCGCCCCCGCCCCCTCCATCCCTCCACGGCCCTCCCTCCGCCTCCCCGCCCACAAGCCACGCTCAGCCAATCGGGAGGCGGAAGGTGCTCCAGCCCTAGCGTGAGGGCGGAGCAGGGTGGCAACCCGGCGGGTAGGGGCGCAGAGTGGGCCGACCTGGGTCGAGGGGCCGCGCTCTGGAAGCTGCGCCGGGTAGCGCGGAAAGAGCACCTTGTAGTGCCGCCGCCACCGCCTCCTCGTCAGGAAAAAGCGGTTAGTCTCCTGCCCTGCCCAGTTCGCATTCCCTGCCCCTGGCCACGAGCCGCCCCGTCCGGAATCCCCCTCCCCCCGTCCAAAGTTGTGAGGGGGCGCCGCGCTCGGGGCGTCCGGCGTGCTTGCGGAGCGGCCGCCGCAGGCGTGCGGAGGGCGGGAGGAGCCCTGAAGCGCCAGGTGCTCGAGGCGGCTTCGGCGCTGCTGGGCGGACGCGGCGGCGCAGGGGGCCGTCTGGGGGTGGGGTGGAGGGCGGGCCCGCCTTGTCGCCCCCGGGTCTCGGGGCACTACCCGCCCGCTGACGGCAGGGAGAGCGCCGCCGGGACCCGCGGGAGAATAAGCTCCCGGAAGGCTGCGGTGCGGCGTCCCAGTCTGAGGGTCTCGCCTTAATCACCCCACGGTGCGAGGTGGTCCCGTTGACAGCTCGCAGTCCGCGGGCCCCGGATTTTCTGGACTGAAGTCGGCGCGGCGTGGGGACGGGTGGGCAGCGGGAAGGGGATGCAGTGCGCCCTGGGCTCCGCGCCGGGGCTGGATGGAGGGGCTGGTCTCGGGGCGCGCCTCTCCTCGCACCTGGGTTCCTGCCTCCTCGGGCTGTGGCTGTGCCTCCTGGTCGGGGTGGGTTGGTTTGTTTGGTTTGTTTCTTCTCTCCACCCCTTTTTTCCTCCTCCATTCTCTTTCCCCCTCCCAGCCCATTCACCGGGCTGAATCGAGACCTCGCCCCTCCTCCGCTCCCGCCTCCCCGCCCTCGCCTCCTCTAATGAGCATCTCTGCCTTGCTTTCAATGGGCCGGTTCTGCTGTCGCTGCTGCTGCCCGCGCGGGTTGTGGATGTTGTCGGCTCCGTGTTGTGATGACAGGAGAATGTGTGTGTGTCCCGGGCCCAGACGAATTGGTAGGTATTTACTTAACTACCTGTGTTGGGTACCTAGGAAGGATGGTGACAGATTTTATGTGTGGATGGTTTTAGGTGGGTCAGCATGGAATTAAGGAATGATAAGATAAGGCGATATAGGTGTTCTGGATTGAGATATTTTTGTAGTCTCTGAGTGCAATTTTCAGGTGGGAACAAAGGAAACTAATCAAACAAGTGCTGGCATGGTGCTTCGTGTCGTCCAAAGGGAGCGAGTTTCTTCATTCGTGTAAAGATGTCAAGAACTGTGAAATGGCTAGACATTACCAGAAAATGCTGAAAAATCGCAGTCTTATATGGTGTGTTTAATGCAATCGGATTACATAAACTGGGCTTCCTACACATTTAATGGCTATATAGCTTTTCTTTTTTCATTTACATTAGAAGCTTTGCAAAGCTGTGGAGCTCCAGAGTAGGAGCACTAATAGCATTTTCTAATTAATTTGGTGCCTGGGTTTATTGATGAAGTGGAATCATTTCTTGGCACAGGCTCTGCCGAGCACATCAGTAAGAATGGATGGGTCTCTTTCCTGTTTCTGGTTGCATGTTTATTAGTCATTGGCAAATACAGCCAAATCTGGCTGGGACTAAGGTGCTGCATTTTATGTGGCTGAGTCTCGAATGTCAGGTAGGAACTTTTCTGTGAAAGTGTAGTCAGGAATAACTTGAAAATTTGACACTGCTCCATTTTACCAACGACTGTAACTTGATACTGTTCTTATTACCTAGTCAAGAACCATGTATTATACTTCATTAATTTAGCAAACTTGTCAGCAAAAGTTGATGTTGTAGGAGATTTTCTTGTTGTTGAATGACAGGATAATCTGAAAGATACAGTTTTGTGGTGCTCAGTTATTGTTTATGAAAGCATTTGAAAGTATCTGGTCTGATGGAGAGTATATCACTTGTGCTGATGAGAATAAAACACTCATTAATCACAGCAGGGTTTTCATGAATTCCAACTGCCCTGCCCTAAGAATTTTGTCTTTTGAGGACATGTTGGAAGTTGGCAGATTAGGATACAATCTAAGTCCTATGTTAACCCCCGAAAGACACTCTGGACACAGTTTACTCTGATTTTTTTTGTGTTTAATCTCAAGAATTTATGCCTACAAGGAAAAATATAGTTGAGTGTTTGATCATTTGATGTTTGAATTTAAGTAGTATTCAAAAATTGCAGTACTATTCAAACACCCACTGTGTGAATCATTAGCTTTTTGCCACAAGGGTTCATACTTTTTTCAGTTAGCTATAAAAGAAGAAATGTCGAAACAGGACTTTAAAGAAGGTACAGATTTCCTTGATTTGTTATTCCTTAATTAGACAAACCCTGTATGCATCTGTCAACTGTCCCTGTCCCCCACAAAGTAGTACTTTGAGTCAATCTACTTTCTGTACAGATACTTTTTTCCCTGTGAGATTCTTAAGGACAAATTACATGGATAAAAGATTACAAGGAAAATTTCTTTTCATGAAGATTGCATCTGTTTACAGGAAATCTTTATACAAAGCATAAAATGAGCTGATGTACTTTCTGCATGCAAACCTAAGCAGAGATAGGGGTTTATGGTTGGAAGCCAATGTCCTGTGGCCCAACATTTGAGCGTATCTCCTGGCTCAGTCATATACTCTTAACCTTTGGATGACTTTCATTCAGTTTGGAGTGCAGTTATTTAAGTGGTTAACCCTGATGGATTCCTGTTCTTCTGGAATTTTTGTTTTTCATTATTGCATTTCAGGATGCTTATTTGGTAATGGATTCTTTTTTCCAGATTCTGGCCATCACTTTCTATTGCCTGATCTTGTCTTCATTTTTGTTAACAAATCTCTTCTTTGATAGTGCAGTTTAAATAATGTTACTTCTGACCCCTTACAAAAGATATTCTTTATGGTTGACTTATACAGTATTTATTACAGAGCAAACAAGAATCAGTGATTATTCAGTGTTTAGTTTTGCCTCCCTCCTCCTGCTTAATTATCAAGTCTTCTTAAATTACTCTTCAAAAAAAGATATAGGAAATAATTTACTGTATAGCTAACATTTGCTGTTTGTAAATTTTGTTTTCTTAACAGGCTCAGCCTTGGGAAAGAATTGTTGATATTAAGATTCAAATGGTTTTATTTTCCTTATTTTTTGTTCATTGAATTTTTAAATGAACAAATGAATACTTTTAAGAAATATCTCAACAATTTAGGGAAAAAAATACATTGTCGAGGGAGAAGAGGGTTTTTTTTTCATAAATTATCTAGATTAAAGATACATGTTTATTAAATATTGTAGATAAATACCCACCAAGTTATTTTCAGTGTCCTATAATGAGTGATTTTTTTCTGAATTCATAATTATAATGTGGCACCTTTTAGATCTAAACTTTGGACCATTATTTTACTATTCTTTATAGCTTTCCTATGGCAAATAGTTACTTTTTTTAATGTATAAGAAAACTTTGGGCATTCAGATCGAGGGAGGGTGAATGGTGGGATCACACCTATGATGCATAATGCAAGGGTACACGTCGGATCTATTAGTATAGAGTATGAATGTCTTAACACAATAATTAAGCAAACGAGATGAGGTATATATTAACCAGTGTGATGTAAACGTTCCTAATTGTATATGAAATCAGCACATTGTACCCCATAAATGCATTAATGTATACATGATCTATGTGTTTATGATTTAATAAAGAAAACTTTTTTGTCTTTTACTAATATTTTAATTTCTAATTGACAATAATTGTATGTATTTATGATGCACAATGTGATGTTTCTAATGAATGTATACATAAAATCAGGTTAATTGCTATATTGGAGAAAACATTTTTCTACAGGCGACTTCTATAATAGATGAAAATAATGTTTCTTAAGTTTTTCCTTATGGCTGCTAAGTAGTGGAAAATGGTAGCAAGTAGATTAAGTTCTAGACTTGAGACCATTTACAAATGTTACTAAGGAAGTTTTAGAGCTACTAGAATACTTAAACTTTTTCTTAATCTCTGAGAGCATAAATTCAACATTGAATAAATGAAACCTGTACTTGATTTCAAAGCCTTCCCTCAAAAAACATAAAGATATGAATCCCAGAAGAGGCCTCAAAGTAGCCTGTGCTTTCCTGTGTTTACTTATAGTTTAGGAGAGGGAGACCCAAAGATGTGAGCTGACTTTTCCTGGATTATTTGGGAGTTAGTGGCAGATCTTTGTTCCTTAGCTTGCCAGATTGGCACAGTAGTCTAGAGAAGCAAGGTTTGCAAGACCAAACACTTGGCTACAGGAAGGAAGTACTGGAATTTCTATTTTTATTTCATTATATAGAGATTTTTGTATATATGCTATAGTGTACATTATGTTAATACAGTAGTATATGCTTATAACTATACATATGTTGGGAGTATATCTTAACACTTTCCTGGTGCTAGCCACTTGTAATCAAATGCCAACAATTGACAACAGGTCTAGAAACAGGATCTTCATAAATAAAAGAATCACCCATGCAACATGGGAGAGATTTCAAGGCCTTTTTAAAGGATGTAGAGGGAAAAAGGTGATTGACCAGGTATACTGTGACTGCAAAATGTTATATAACCTTCATCTCTTCAGCTTTCCTCAGCCAAATCTATTGTACATTCTGCACTGTTCGTATTGCACAAAGAATTATGAAGAAAAGAGAAAATTAAAGCTTGAGTACAGGAACTAGGAGTTCAGTCCTGGCTCCATGAATAATTGGGAGTTGTACTTAATCAGATTATACACTGTAGAAATAGTACATGATATTTGTATAAAATACAGTACCTCTTAGCACAAGGGTTAGCATTTAGATTGACTTGCTTAATATTTGCAATAAAAGCAAAGCTAGATTAAGTAATTGAAATGTAACTGTTTTCTTTGTGTACATCTGTTTAATTTGCTGTCTAGGAATCCCAGTCAGAAGTTCCAGCCTGCCGCTGTTCTCTGATGCCATGCCAGCACCAACTCAACTGTTTTTTCCTCTCATCCGTAATTGTGAACTGAGCAGAGTCTATGGCACTGCGTGTTACTGCTACCACAAACATCTCTGCTGTTCATCACCCTACGTTCCTCAGGGTCGCCTGAGATATACTCCCCATCCGGCATATGCTACCTTTTGCAGGCCAAAGGAGAACTGGTGGCAGTACACCCAGGGAAGAAGATATGCTTCCACACCGCAGAAATTTTACCTCACACCTCCACAAGTCAATAGCATCCTTAAAGCTAATGAATATAGTTTCAAAGTGCCAGAATTTGATGGCAAAAATGTCAGTTCTGTCCTTGGGTTTGACAGCAATCAGCTGCCTGCAAATGCACCCATCGAAGATCGGCGAAGTGCAGCAACCTGCTTGCAGACTAGAGGGATGCTTTTGGGGGTTTTTGATGGCCATGCAGGCTGTGCTTGTTCACAGGCTGTCAGTGAAAGACTCTTTTATTATATTGCTGTCTCTTTGTTACCCTATGAGACTTTGCTAGAGATAGAAAATGCAGTGGAGAGTGGTCGGGCACTGCTACCCATCCTCCAGTGGCACAAGCACCCCAACGATTACTTCAGTAAGGAGGCATCCAAGTTGTACTTCAACAGCTTGAGGACTTACTGGCAAGAGCTGATAGACCTCAACACTGGCGAATCAAGTGATATTGATGTTAAGGAAGCTTTAATTAATGCTTTCAAGAGGCTTGATAATGACATCTCTTTGGAGGCTCAAGTCGGTGATCCTAATTCTTTCCTCAATTATCTGGTGCTTCGAGTGGCATTTTCTGGGGCCACTGCTTGTGTGGCCCATGTGGATGGTGTTGACCTTCATGTGGCCAATACTGGTGATAGCAGAGCCATGCTAGGTGTGCAGGAAGAGGACGGCTCTTGGTCAGCAGTCACACTGTCTAATGACCACAATGCTCAGAATGAAAGAGAACTAGAACGGCTGAAATTGGAACACCCAAAGAATGAGGCCAAGAGTGTGGTGAAACAGGATCGGCTGCTTGGCCTGCTGATGCCATTTAGAGCTTTTGGAGATGTAAAGTTCAAATGGAGCATTGACCTTCAAAAGAGAGTGATAGAATCTGGCCCAGACCAGCTGAATGAAAATGAGTATACCAAGTTTATCCCTCCTAATTATTACACACCACCTTATCTCACTGCTGAGCCAGAAGTAACTTACCACCGGTTAAGGCCACAGGATAAGTTTCTGGTATTGGCTACTGATGGATTGTGGGAGACTATGCATAGGCAGGATGTGGTTAGGATTGTGGGTGAGTACCTAACTGGTATGCATCACCAACAGCCGATAGCTGTTGGTGGCTACAAGGTGACTCTGGGACAGATGCATGGCCTTTTGACAGAAAGGAGAACCAAAATGTCCTCAGTATTTGAGGATCAGAATGCAGCAACCCATCTCATCCGCCATGCTGTGGGCAACAATGAGTTTGGGACAGTTGATCATGAGCGCCTCTCCAAAATGCTTAGTCTTCCTGAAGAGCTTGCTCGTATGTACAGAGATGACATTACAATCATTGTGGTTCAGTTCAATTCTCATGTTGTAGGGGCATATCAAAACCAGGAATAGTGAGTGGATCTTACCCTGGCAATTCTCAAATGAAATAAATTTAAAGGGCAGAATTTTTTTTAAGTTACTAATATAATAAACATTTCCAGAGGGTCACTCCAAGAATTTACCCATTTGATACCCTAGCTAGTTAAATACTCCAGATTGACTTTGCAACAGGGTGGCAGGATCATGAGAGTCTGGTTCTGCCTAGATTAGCCCTCATAGCACCTGCACTTTTGAAGCAAGTTATTTCCTCATTGTAGGTGTCTTGAAATATTGGTTGCTTTTACCAACCTGAGAAAATTAGGATTACCTAACAAGTAGAATCTTGAATAGGCCAAAAGCAAGGATATTGGAAAAAAAGGAGAAACAATATTCTTCACCCCTTCAGACCCCTCTCTTCACTAAGATTCCAATGTACATGAGAACATGTATTTATTGCATGATTTTCTAGGTATATAATCTATGCATTATTCATATAAATTTACTTTAGCCTGATACGGTTTTCAGATCCAGTACTTTAAGCCATAAATGACCAAGAACCAAACAATCTAATTTCTAAGTTTTTGTGATTATTTCACTGGAATGCTTCTTAAATAGAAGAACTATACTCCCTCCCCACCCCTGGTTTCCTAATGTAATTGAAACATTTTCTATTTTGCCACATCATTGAAGATAATAAAGGTTTTTAGTTTTATCTATTCTTATGTTGATGTTAAGTAAAAAGGTTTTTTAATTTGTACTAAAGAAAGCTTTATTTAGTTTGAAATAAAGAGATTCAGAATAAAAAGAGACTGATATGTTCATTTATTATCATCTTTAGCCACCAACACATCACTCTCTTAAATAATCCCCGATGACTTGGCATGCTGTAAGTGTATGGTGGGTAGACTGCTGCCGGGGAATCATACTTCTTATTTAGTGTAATAAGAATCTTCATCACTTTTGGAATTCTAAAGGTGACATATATAAAATAAGTTTAAACATCAATTGGGGAGTAAGATTTAATATCACCATTTGGTATTGAGACAGGAAGACGTTTTTATTTTTACCCATTTAGACATAGGTCAATTAAAATATTTGGTTTAAAATTACTAAATGCTTTAAACATATTGTAGCTTAGATATATGTGTTAAGATATTTACATGAGAAATTTTAAAAGGTAACTATTGTGCATGCCTTATGCTTAATAGAACACTTAGTATTGTCAAATGTTGTTTGCAGCAGTCTCCATAATTATCTACAGTCCCTTCTAATACTGTATCAAAGTAAATGAAAGTAATTGTGTTCAGATTGGCTTTTGGGGAGCTTATTTGATACGCATCAAATGGCATTTTGTTCTGTGTTTGGTGATCTGTATTCAGCTGTGCATAATTTTTTCACTTATTCTAGCATCACTGTTTAAAAAGATGGCTATGTTTGTGTTTGATAGTCACATCGATTCTAATATAAAACATGATCAGCTTTCATTGTGTAATTAGTTGGATGTTTACGGGTCCTTTCAGATTTTTGTATGAGCTAAATCTTCAAGAATTGGACTGTGGATATGGAGTCAATGCGGTATTGGCTGCAAAATTTGTTGCAATTGAAAATAGACTGGAAAATTGCAGCTCAGACTATCCTATAATGTTTGTTTTTTGAAATTTTTTTTTTTTTTTAAATCAGCTTGGAAATTTTTTCCCAGGCAGTATTTTGGAGGGGGGAAGGCTATATTATATATTTATTTCTAAATGTTTCAACAGAAAATTTATCTTTTAATGAAACGTGGACTGCTGTAGCAAAACCTGTTTTCAGCTACTATTTGAATTGCTCTTGAACAGCACCACTGAAGAGTTCCATATTATAACATACTGAGTAATGTCTCATGTCTATATAGTACAGGAAATACAAAATTGGTTTCCTGTGGTCGTGATGAAGATGGTAATATTATTACACAAGAAACTTGGTCTGTAGTGTGAAAGCTGGTCTACTCTCTAAAGAAAGAAAATTGGGTTTACAAAATCTGAATGTACTGTTATCTAAAGGCAATTATGATTTTTATTGTAATTGGTTGTCACTATGATGTGATGTCTAGAATTAAAGAATACATGTGAACTTTCATGGTATTTAGCCTTTCTTTTTTTTTTTAATTTAATTTTTCTAACATACATATTCAACTTCAGTATTAGTGGGTCATGATATATAATACACCCCTTAATGGTTACATGGAATATTGGTATGGTTCACAGCGCTTGGTAGGAAAACTGTCTTATGAAAGATGTACATGTATGAAGATACGTGAACTGGTTTACAGAGAATGGTCGGAAAAGTGCTCACAGTGAATTAAAGCTTCATATCTGCTTTCTGGATGTCCTGTGTTGGTTTTCAATAATAGCGAGACTCA